GGTAAAATTTCAGTACCAAGAGCGGTAACCCCGAGCTACACTCAGGCTTGCCATGCGGCGTTGCTCAGGGGGTCCCTGCAGCACTTACCTTGTCCTTCGCTCCTGTGATGCGTCCCCTGCAGCGTACCCGGCCATCTCCTCCGTCCGATGCCGGCATCCGACTTCTGTGTTCCGGTCCCTGTGACGTCGAGACGTACGGGCGCTGGAACCGGCGGGAAATTTGAAATTTTTAAAAAATTTCATTTTTTTGCTGTCATTGCTGTTTCAATGCATTTCACATACAGTTTGTCCCGAGTGCTTTGTCCGGCGCCCCGCCTGCATTTTGACTGTTCTTTCTACCTGGAAACTTAGAAAAGTCCATGGCGTCCAAAAAGCGTCCCTTTACGTCAAAAGCGGTTTTAGAACAGCGATAGTAAATCAGAACCACTTGCAGAATTGAGTGATAATGATTCGTGGGGGAAATTCGTCATCAGACACTGAAAACGATTTTGCGACTTTGCTCAGCGATGTGCGAATTTGCCTCTGTATTTCAAATCTCAGTGTTTTTTTGGTTTGATTATATTATTGAATTAAATTTATTATTATTATATTATTATTTTTTATGATTATTTATTAAATTATAATTTATGATTTCGTGTTTCAAGTTTTATCCTCCCCGGGATGTTTACTAGACTCTTGTTCAGACAGATTTCAGTGAGTTATTCCTAAAAATTACAGCCTACAATAAAAAACTACATATTTCCATGCAAAATAATGTACCGCTTTCAGCACCAAAAATCTGAAAGAATCATCCCGCCAGGGAGGTTAAAGGGAAGTGGATCTCTATAATCAATCTGGCTCTTGACCTCTGATTGCTCTTGTAGCTCTACCCTCTTAAGGGTTGCTTAGTAATTCTGGGGTTCCCTGTTGATTTGGACCTCTTTCTGAAAACCAAAACTCTGGTGACACGAACGCACTCCAGACCCAAATAGGTCACCACAGAACTAAAAGAGAATTGAGATAAAGATCTGTTCCTGGGTAGCCACAGATGTTAGTCGCTTCAGACGACTTTTGCTCAGCCTTGTAGAACCTGCCTAGAAGCATGCGTGCAGTGTTGTCGTCTCCTTCCCAACAACGCTGCACGCATGTTTCTAGACTTTTATAACAGAAACAAAAACTTGGGTTTTTTTTTTTTCCAAAATTGTCTTTTTTGTTAATTTAGCAAAAAATAAAAACCCCCGGCGGTGATTAAATACCAGAAAGCTCTAGTTGTGTGAACAAAATTGATAAAAGTTTAGTTTGGGTACAGTGTTGCACGACTGCACAATTGCCATTCAAAGTGTGAGAGCGCCAAAAGCTGAAAATTGGCCCGGGCAGGAAGGCGGTAAAAGTGCTCGGTATTTACAAAAATAAAATAAAAAAAAGAAAAACACAATTCGGAGATTTCCATTACCGTTTACCGCCAAAATGAAAGCCCAATCTGTCCCGAGAAATATGCGGGATAATTCACCGGCATGACGATACGTACAGATTTACTAACATACGTCAAAGTTGCAAAATTGGTGTTAAGATTTGTTTGACGCTTAACTCCCAAGTAAAAAAAAAAAAGAAAAGAAATTTTTTTTTTCCCAGTTGCTTCATGAAAATGAATGACCCCCAATGCTGTGTGTCTCGTTGGTGGATGTTGCTGCGTGGGGTACAAAGTCTAACATTCGTGCATTCTGATGCTGCTGTAAGCGCCAATTTTTTGATTGCACGAGAGGCGGATAAACATCACAACCTCCCCTCCTCCGGAACTTCATGCTGCCATGCTCAGGGCAAGCTCAGGTAGAAATCCTTTCATTCAGGTGGAAATCAAAGTTCTGAAGAGACAAACATGAAAGAGAAAATGTATATTCTGAATAACACGGAGCTTTAATTATGAGATCAATGAATAGAACATGAAACAATGTAACAAAATGTAATAATAAACTGCAAACTGGTAATGAAAAACAGGTGCCAGAAAGGGAAGCAAACCTATGCCCACCCACTGTGAGTGCGGACCTGGGAAGGGGCTCAGCTCGGCTCCAAGCAACTGGATGGATCCCACGAAGCCGCACATCACTGCCTGGGCTCCTGTCAGGCCACGCCCCCCCCAAATGCGTTTCGCTCCACCCCTCAGAGCTTATTCATGGGATCCCCATGATTAACTGCTTCCGCGCCGCCCTATAGCAGAAATACTGCTACAAGGCGGCACGGCTGTGCAAAATCAGGTATATATACGTGATTTCGCAGTTCTGGGTAGGGAACTTAAAATCTGAAGAATATATTTAAAAAAAGATATATATTTTTTAAATATATATATCTTCAGATTTTTTTTTAACATATAAAAAAAGTCATTTTAACATAATATTTTTACCATATATTTGCAAATGGGTTCCAAAAATGTAGATTTGTATTTTTAAAGACATACAGTATATGTATGTAGATATTTATATATATATATATGTGTGTATGTATATATGTGACGGGAGTGACTTTTGGGGGTGGGGGGACCCCTGTCTCCGCTCCCCATGTTCCCATTATGTGTAAGTCACCCTGTGCCTGTTAGGGGTACGGGGTGAAATGTTATAATATTGGTGTGGGGGGCTGTTCATTGTTCTCTGCCATGCGGCTGCATCCCATTGTTCTAGCAAACTATTATGGGATGTAATGTTTGTGTATTGGTGGTGTGGGGGTTGTCCATTGTCCACTGCCAGGTGGTGCATCCTATTGTTCTATTGTGTGGCTTGGTTTAATGGGGGGTGTTTCTGGCAGCCCTTCCCCCTGATGAGACGACCTGCTGATGTGTTTCCTGTTACTGATTGTATTGCCCCGCCCTGTGTATATATCTTGTGTTTGTGTTAAAATAAAGCAGTCCACTTCCTGTCTTAAAAAGCTGGTGCTGTCTCGTCCTGTATGGTCAGCGGTGGGGTCCGTGGATGGTGTTCAGACAGGGAAGTGGGAGTCTAACTGAAATGCCATAGCGCAGTTGGGGTCCGGTTTCGGTTATAATATACAGTCAGGTCCATAAATATTGGGACATGGACACAATTCTAAACATTTTTGGCTCTATAAACACCACCACAATGGATTTGAAATGAAACGAACAAGATGTGCTTTAACTGCAGACTGTCAGCTTTAATTTGAGGGTATTTACATCCAAATCAGGTGAACGGTGTAGGAATTACAACAGTTTGCATATGTGCCTCCCACTTGTTAAGGGACCAAAAGTAATGGGACAATTAGCTTCTCAGCTGTTCCATGGCCAGGTGTGTGTTATTCCCTCATTATCCCAATTACAATGAGCAGATAAAAGGTCCAGAGTTCATTTCAAGTGTGCTATTTGCATTTGGAATCTGTTGCTGTCAACTCTCAAGATGAGATCCAAAGAGCTGTCACTATCAGTGAAGCCATCATTAGGCTGAAAAAAAACAAAACAAACCCATCAGAGAGATAGCAAAAACATGAGGCGTGGCCAAAACAACTGTTTTGGAACATGCTTAACCATTTGCCGCCCGCCCTATGGCCAAAGGGCGGCCGGCAAATGTCATCAGCGTTCCGGGTGGACGCCATATGGCGTCCTCCCGCACATGCGCAGATTGCGCTCCTGCAGAGCCACGCAGCGGCGTGATCTGTCACCGGCCGTGTACCTCGGACACAGCTTATGACAGATCTGAGTACCGGCCCCTGTTGCTGGTACCATGTGTCCTGCTGTGACCAATCACAGCAGGTCACATGACAGTTGTATACAATGGATGGCTTCATTCATGCCATCCATTGTATACTAGTGCCTAGATGTGAATGGTCACAGCAGGTCACATGCACATGTCATGTGATTAGCTGTGGCCAAATCACAGCTAAGCACAAAAAAAAAAAAAAAACCTGAATGAATCGATGTCATTCAGGTAAATGCTTGCTTATAGCAAAGTAATTTTTGTGTAAAAAAAAAAAATAAATACAGATCACTTCCCCAAAGTAGTACAATATTACTATGGTAACAATATACTACTTTGGTCATAGTAAAATATGAAAAAAAAATCTTAAAAAAAGAAAAATAATGTAAAAAAAATAATAAAATAAAATAAAATATATATATATTTTTTTTCATCCTGTCACCAGTCAGTGTTCCTGATCACCGCCATGCCAGTTTATATGATGACGCTGTACTGCACTGGTGACAGGATGGAAAAAAAAAAAAAAAATAGTGAAACTAATTTTTTTAAAAATTTTTTCATTTTCCGAAAAATTATGACAAAAAAATACAACTTCAGAAAACTCGCCATTCCTCTTATGAAGTACGTCGGACTGTCTACTCTGCAAAAAGAGGTCATTTGGGGGATATCTGTACTGTCCTGACATTTGGGGGATATCTGTACCGTCCTGACATTTGGGGGATATCTGTACCGTCCTGACATTTGGGGGATATCTGTATTGTCCTGACATTTGGGGGATATCTGTACCGTCCTGACATTTGGGGGATATCTGTACCGTCCTGACATTTGGGGGATATCTGTCCTGTCCTGACATTTGGGGGATATCTGTCCTGTCCTGACATTTGAGGGATATCTGTTCCGTCCTGACATTTGGGGATATCTGTTCCGTCCTGACATTTGGGGGATATCTGTACAGTCCTGACATTTGGGGGATATCTGTCCTGTCCTGACATTTGGGGGATATCTGTCCTGTCCTGACATTTGGGGGATATCTGTACCGTCCTGACATTTTGGGGGGATATCTGTCCCATCCTGACATTTGGGGGGATATCTGTACTGTCCTGACATTTGGAGGATATCTGTACTGTGCTGACATTTGGGGGATATCTGTACCGTCCTGACATTTGGGGGATATCTGTACCGTCCTGACATTTGGGGGATATCTGTTCCGTCCTGACATTTGGGGGATATCTGTACCGTCCTGACATTTGGGGGATATCTGTACCGTCCTGACATTTGGGGGATATCTGTACCGTCCTGACCTTTGGGGGATATCTGTACCGTCCTGACCTTTGGGGGATATCTGTACCGTCCTGACATTTGGGGGATATCTGTACCGTCCTGACATTTGGGGGATATCTGTACCGTCCTGACATTTGGGGGATATCTGTTCCGTCCTGACATTTGGGGGTATCTGTACCGTCCTGACATTTGGGGGATATCTGTCCTGTGCTGACATTTGGGGGATATCTGTCCTGTCCTGACATTTGGGGGATATTTGTACCGTCCTGACATTTGGGGGATATCTGTACTATTCTGACATTCTTGGACCTCAAGAAATTAGATTGGCTGTCAGTACTTCAGGACTGATCAATATTCAGATCTATCCCATAGTTTGTGAACTCTATAACTTTCCTACAAACTAAATAATACATCCTAATTTGGGTTATTTTCACCAAAGACATGGAGCAGAATACATCTCGGCCTAAATTTATGAAGAACAATTATTTATTTGCAAACGTTTATAACAGAAAAAAAGAAAAATGTGTGTTTTTTTTCAAAATTTTTGGTCTTTTTTTGTTAATTTAGCAAAAAATCAAAACCCCGGCGATGATTAAATACCACCAAAAGAAAGCTCTAGTTGTGTGAATAAAATGATAACATTTTAGTTTGGGTACAATGTTGTATGACCGCGCAATTGTCATTCAAAGTGTGAGAGCGCTGAAACCTGAAAAATGGCCTGGGCAGGAAGGGGTAAAAAAATTGCCCGGTATGGAAATGGTTAAAAAGAAGGAATGCGCCGGTGAGCTCAGCAACACCAAAAGACCCGGAAGACCATGGAAAACAACTGTGGTGGATGAGCGAAGAATTCTTTCCCTGGTGAAGAAAACACCCTTCACAACAGTTGGCCAGATCAAGAACACTCTCCAGGAGGTAGGTGTATGTGTGTCAAAGTCACCAATCAGGAGAAGACTTCACCAGAGTGAATACAGAGGGTTCACCACAAGATGGAAACCATTGGTGAGCCTCAAACACAGGAAGGCCAGATTAGAGTTTGCCAAACGACATGTAAAAAAGCCTTCACAGTTCTGGAACAACATCCTATGGGACAGATGAGACCGACATCAACTTGTACCAGAGTGATGGGAAGAGAAGAGTATGGAGAAGGAACTGCTCATGATCCTCAGCATACCACCTCATCTGTGAAGCATGGTGGTGGTAGTGTCATGGCGTGGGCATGTATGGCTGCCAATGGAACTGCTTCTCTTGTATTTATTGATGATGTGACTGCTGACAGAAGCAGCCGGATGAATTGTGAAGTGTTTCGGGAATATTATCGGCTCATATTCAGCCAAATGCTTCACAACTCATTGGACGCTTCACAGTGCAGATGGACAATGACCCAAAGCAGACTGCAAAAGCAACCAAAGAAGTGGAATGTTCTGCAATGGCCAAGTCCATCACCTGACCTGAATCCGATTGAGCATTTCACTTGCTGAAGACAAAACTGAAGGGAAAATGCCCCAAGAACAAGCAGGAACTGAAGACAGTTGCAGTAGAGGCCTGGCAGAGCATCACCAGGGATGACACCCAGCGTCTGGTGATGTCTATGCGTTCCACACTTCAGGCTGTCATTGACTGCAAAGGATTTGCAACCAAGTATTAAAAAGTGAAAGTTTGATTTATGATTATTATTCTGTCCCATTACTTTTGGTCCCTTAATAAGTGGGAGGCACATATGCAAACTGTTGTAATTCCTACACCGTTCACCTGATTTGGATGTAAATACCCTCAAATTAAAGCTGACAGTCTGCAGTTAAAGCACATCTTGTTCATTTCATTTCAAATCCATTGTGGTGTATAGAGCCAAAAATGTTAGAATTGTGTCCATGTCCCAATATTTATGGACCTGACTGTGTGTGTGTATATATATATATATATATATTATATATAATATATATATATATATATATATATATATATATATATATTTATATACAGTGTGGCAAAAAAGTATTTAGTCCCCACCAATTGTACAAGTTCTCCCACTTACAGAGATGAGAGAGGCCTGTAATTGGCATCATAGGGAGAACCTCAACTATGAGAGACAAAATGAGAAAACAAATCCAGACAATCTCATTGGCTGATTTGGAAAGAATTTATTTTCAAATTATGGTGGAAAATAAGTATTTGGTCTCCTACAAACAAGCAAGATTTCTGGCTCTCACAGACCTGGACCTTCTTCTGTAAGAGGCTCCTCTGTCCTGCACTCATTACCTGTAGCAATGGCACCTGTTTGAACTTGTTATCAATATAAAAGACACCTGTCCACAACAAGTGCCCCATCATTGGTAATTAGTGGGAGTGAATAAGTGCCCAATCATTGTGTAACGATGGAAGGAATTAGCGTCCCATCATTTGGTGTCAGTGAAGTAGAATAGTGTCCCCAATCATCTGGTATCAGTGGGAGGACAGAGAGCCGCCCATCATTGGTGTCAGTGGAGTAGGAATAAGCGTCCAATCATTGGTGGTATACACGTGAAGAGAAGGAAATACGATGCTCCACTACATAATGTTGTCAGTTGGAAGGAACAGTGCGCCACATACATTGGTAGTCAGTGGGTAGGAATAGTTCCTCCATTGCATTGGGTGTTCAAAGTGGGAGGGAATATAGTGCCCCATCAATTAGTTATCAAGATGGCATGAATATGTGCCCTCCAACAATTGGTGTCAGTGGGAGGAATAAGAGTCCCATCATTGGTATGTCAGTTGAGAAGTTAATAGGGGGCCAGGGGGAGATACATCATTGGATGTCAGTGGGGGAGAATAGCGCCCAACTTTGGTATAAGTGAAAGGAATATGCCCCATCATTGGTGTCAGGAATAGTGCCCACCTATCTATTGTGTCAGGGGAGGAATCAGCAGGCCGGGGGCCCCGCCACCATCATGTTATAAGTGAAAGAATAGTGCCCCCCTCTTTGGTGTCGGGGAGGAATAGCCCCCCATCTTTGGTATAATGAAAGGAAAAGTGCCCACACGGTGTCAGGAATAGTCCCCCAAGCCAATAAAGGCAGCACAACCACATCGGGCCCTCAGGCGAAGTTTGAAGACCATTGATCTAGACCATATACCCTATCACTTCATATAAATTTAGACTGCTCGGGGCCCCCTAGGCAACCCCCGTCTGACAGAAAAAACCCAAAAATATGGTTTGTAAGTGGATTCACATAACGTGATAATCCTTTCCTTGTCCTCCCCAAAAGAAACCATACTCGCCCCTTAATCTATTACAATCACGAAATCGGGCTTCATAATCTATTTTTCATAAAAATTTTTTCTTATTGTGTTCTTCTCGCCCTCGAAATTCCCCGTGAGTTCTAAAAACCTTCCTTTTCCCCCTCATTTTTCCGGTCAGCTCTATGCAAAAACCTGTATCCATCCAGAGCAGCTACGAGGGTTTTCCTACTACGGTGGGGACCCACGCATGGGTGTTTTGGACCACAGACCCATATTTGGTCCAGGGACAACCATTTTGTTCGATAGGTAAGTATGTGACTTGCATCCTTTCATCACCCATTCACATCCTCATCAAAGGTATATAATTGTCCAGTTCTACTGCCCACATATTTTCGCCTCAGCTCTAGTTACACTCCCAACCAGACTGAGGATCCTGGCCTTAAGATCCATCCGCGGGCAGGTAATGCCTTCCTTCGTTTTTCCTGAATCCATTCAGCATCCACTACAATACGTCATAAAAAATAGAAGCAAATGGAGTAGGGGAAAGTGGAAGAAAAAAGCAAAGAAGAGCTGAAATGAAGATTTCGGTGACTGTGAAATGATGTGAAAGTGAAACTAAAACTCCCCATCACTCAAGTCTGGGGAAGTAGTGAAAGTTTTCACTTTAGTGGATAAATCCTAAAACTCGGCCTATAAGAAGAGTAGCTAAAAGATGGAGCTCAGCACAGAGCAGCAATCGCAGCAGAACCTGGACCTCCTCTGGAGAACACTAAGCCCTGAGAAGGAGACGAACCCCTTGTACCCCAGACGCAAGGCCAAGCTTTTAATCCTGGACAAGTACCTTCCTAATGAGCCTCAGCTCCATCGGCTCTGCCCAAACTGGCAACTGGCTCCATCGCAACAAAAGAAGAAATGAACGCCCAGGAGCCCATTATAGCCCCCCCCTCCTCAAGACCCCCGCCCAGCCCCCTCCCCGCTCCCCACCCCCCCCCCCCCCCTCCCACCCCCGTCATTGACACGTTGATTTATCGCTTTTACGATATTATGCTGGGGGGTCCAGCTGATCTGCAGCCCAAATGCTGTGCGAGAAGAGGTCCGACCCAAACCTATATCCGCTTTCATACAGAAGAAATACCAAGACAGGATGGACAACCGACCGGCCTTCCTGGGAGAAGCTTCAGGAACACCACCACCACCAGGTAGACAAAACAACAGCTGTCGATGTATCCCCGTAGGGAGCGAGAGAACCGCTCTTCATACAGGGAATCGCCATAGGTATCAGTACCCTGGCAGAGGATCCTAGAGGAGCCGGAGGAGATGCTAAGGGTGTGCTTGGAGAACGACCACACCGAGATCCGGGAGAACCTTAGCGAAGGGCGGCTCAACTTCAACTCCATGAGAAAACTGAAGTTCCGGGACAAACCCATTTCGAACAACACTCTGATTGCCAATTTGAGGAACCAATTTTCCTATTTTTTATTTTTTACAGAAGGAATATTTATTATATTTATATTCAATATTTTTAAATTTTGGGGAAAATGTATTGCTTTTGTTTTTACATCTCCAATCCAACGTCAACTCCCATGAAAAACTGAAGTCACACACTAACCCCTTTCAGTAACAAAATCTCCGTTTGGCCAACGAAAGGGGGCCCCAATTTTCTCTATTTATTATTTTTATAACAGAAGCCCTATTTATTATATTTATATTAATATTTTAAGTTGTCAAATTATTGCTTTGTGTTACAAACGCCAAAAAAAACTTTTTATGGTCCCACCAAAGGACTATTTTTCCCGGGCAACCCAACTGCTTCACCTAATCTCATTCCTGAAACTACGTCCATGTTTCCCCTCCAAACGTCTCCATACCAAATTTGGGAAACCCCGATAAAAGGGGGTTTTTTGGACCCCCCCCCCCAAAATGATAATAGTCTTCACCTTCTTGTTTTAAAAAAAATAAAACTTTTACTGGACTTATTCTAAATCCTGGGGTGATCCCCTTTTTTTATATTCCTTTTTATTTTTTTTTGTTCCTTCAAAATGATTTGGAGGTGTCATTTTAAAGACAAACCTTTTGGGGGAAAAAAAAACTTTGGGGGGGCCCAAAAAAAAAAAGGGGGGGGGGGGAAAGGGGGTTTTTAATTTGAAATAAAAGAGGGGAAGGGGGGGGAATATAGAAAAAAAAAAAAGGAGGAAGGGGGAAAAAAAAACCTTAAGAGGGAAAAAAAGGAAAAAGGGGGATTTAAAAAGAAAAAGAGGGGGGGGGGGAAAGGGGAAACCCATTAAAATTTTTTTTTGGGGGGGGGGGGGGGGCCCGTTCCCCTTGTTTTTCCGGGGGCCCCCCGGCGGGGGGGGTCCTGTTCCCTTTTTTCCCCCTGATCCCGCGGGGAAAATTTTCCCTTTTTATATTTCCCTAAATTTTCCCCCCGGGGAGGTCCGCCTCTTTTGTCTTTTTCCCCCGGGGTCCCCCCGGGGGGGCCCCATTCCTCAAAAGTCCTTTTCCCTTTCCCGGGGGGGGGGCCGTTCCCTTTTTTCTTTTTTCCTTTCCCCCCCGGGGGGGCCCTCCCCCCTTTAAAAACCCCTTCCAAGGGTCCCCCCAAAAAATTTTTTTTTCCCTTTTTCCCCTTGGGGGCCCCCCCGGGGGGGGCCCCCTTCCTTGTTGTCTTTTTATCACTTTCCCCGGGGGGGGCCCTTTTTCCCTTTTCCCCTTTTTCCCCCCAGGGGGGGGATCCGGTTTTTGGTTTTTTCCGGGGGACCCCCCGGGGGGTCCTTTTTCCCTTTTAAAAAACTTTTCCTAAAGGGTCCCCGGGGGGGTCCTTTCCCTTTTCCTTCCGGGCCCCCGGGGGGGATCCCGTCCCTTTTTTTCCTTCCGGGGGCCCCCAAAAACCCCGGCTCTTTGTCCCTTTTTCCTGGGGCCCCGGGGAAAAACCTTTCCCCCCTTTTTTCCCTTTCCGGGGGGCCCCCGGGGGGGTCCTTTTCTTTGCCCTTTTTTGGGTTTTCCCCCCGGGGGGCCGTTTTTCTTTTTCCTTCCGGGGGCCCCCGGCAAAAGGGGGGGGGTTCCTCTTGTTTTTTCCAAAAGGGCCCGGGGGGGGGTCCCTTCCCTTTTTTTCCTTCCGGGGGGCCCGGGGGGGCCCTTTTCTCTTGATCTTTTCCTGGGGTCCCCCGGGGGGGGGGCCGTTCCCTAAATTCCCCCTTTTTCCCGATCCCCGGGGGGTTTTTTTTTTTCCCCCCCTTTGGGGGCCCCCCCGGGGGGGGTCCCTTTTTTTTGCCTCCGGGGGCCTGGGGGGGGGGCCCCCCCTCTTTTTTTTTCCGGGGGCCCCCGGGGGGTCCCCATTTTTTTGTCCATCCGGGGGCCCCCGGCGGGGAAGGGGTTTTTTCCCCCTTTTGGGCCTCCTTTTCCCCCCGGGGGGGTTTTTTTCCCCCCCCATTGTCCTTCCTGGGCCCGGCGGGGGGGCCCTTTCCTTAAACCTTTTTTTTCCCCCAAAGGGGCCTTTTTCCCAAATTTGCCCTTTCCCGGGGCCCCCCGGGGGGGGGTCCCGTTCCTCTTTGCCCTTTTTCACCCAAAAATCCTTCGGGGGGGTCCTTTCCCTTTTTTTCCTTCCCCCCCCCCCGGGGGAAAAGGGTCCGTTCCTTTTTTATCCTTTGGGGTCCCGCCCAAAAAAATCCCTTTTCCCTTTTATAAGTCCCCCCTTTAAAACCCGGGGGGGCCCGGGTTTTCTTTGTCCTTTCTTTGGGGCCCCCCCGGGGGGGTTCCCGGCCCCCCCCTTTTTTTTCCCCCTTGGCGGGGAAAGGGGTTTTTTCTTTTCCTTTGGGGCCCCGGGGGGGAAAACCTTTTCCCCCTTTAAAACCCCTGAGGGGGGGCCCCCCCCCCGGGGGGGGCCTTTTCCTCCTTTTTTTCCCCCCCGGGGTCCCCGCGGGGGGGGTTTCCCCATTCCTCTTTGATCTTTTTCCCCCCTCCGCGGGGGGGCCTACCCCTTGTCTCCCGGGGGTTCCCCCGGGGGGGTCCTGTTTCCCCTTTTGATCTTTTTCCGGGGGGCCCCTTTGGGGGGGGTCCGTTCCTCTTTTTCTCATTTCCTTTGGGTCCACCGGGGGGGGGCCTTCCCCCCTTTTCCCTTTCCGGGGGGCACCCCGGGGGGGGGGGGCCGTTCCTCTTTTTTCCTTCCTTCACCCGGGGGGGTTTTTTTTTTTTTTCTTTTCTTTTGGGGACCGGGGGGTTGGGCCCCGTTTCCCCTTTTTTTGTCTATTTCCTAGATCCCGGGGGGGTTTTCCCTTTTGATCTTTCCCGGGGGGGGCCCCCGGGGGGGGGCCTATTTCTTTGTCCTCCTGGGGCCCGGGGGGAAGGGTTTTCTTTGGCCCCTTTTTCCCGGGGTTTTCCCCGGGGGGCCCCCCTTCTTTTCCCCTTTTGGGGTTTTTCCCGGGGGGGGGTTTTTTCCCTTTTTCTTTTCCCTTCCTTGGTCCCGGGGGGAAAAAGGGGGCCCCCCCCCCCCGCCCCCTTTTGGGGTCCCCCGGGGGGCCTTTCCCCCCCCCGTCTTTCCCGGGGTCCCGGGGGGGACCCTTTTTTTATTTATCCTTCCTTGGGGGCACCCGGGGGCCCTTCCTTTTTTTCCTTTTTTGCGGTCCCCGGGGGGGTTTTCCCGTCCCCGTCTTTTCCTGGGGGGCCCGGGGGGGCCTTTCCCTTTTTTCCTTTCCCGGGGCCCCGGGGGGGGTTGTTCCCCAAAACTTTTCCTTCCCCGGGGGATCCTTCCCCCTTTTCTTCTATCCCCGGGGTCCCGCGGGAAATCCTTTCCCCTTTTTTGTTTTCTTCCTTCCCCCCCGGGGGTTCCTTTTTTTTGATTCCTGGGGGGTCCCCGGGGGAAAAACCGCCCCCTTTTTGTTTCCTTTTTCCGGGTTTTCCCCTTTGCCCCTTCCTCCCTCCCCCGGGCCGGGTTGGCTCGAAAACTCTTGCCCATTTTGAAAAAAAAAAAATTTTTTTTTTCTTTGGTTTTTTGGTTCGGCCGACAAAACCGGGGCCTTTTTACTACTTTCCCTGCCCCCCCCCGGGGCCCCTTTCTTTTTTTCCCCAAAATTTAACTGGGGCTTTTAGGCTTTTTAAAAAAACCCCCCTTTTTTTTTGCTCCCTTCCCCTCCTTCCTCATCTTTAATCCCCCGGGGGCAAATTTTTTTTTCCTCTTTTTGTTTTTCGCCTTTTTAATTTTGGGAACTCCCCCTTTTTCCCTTTTTTTTCCCGCTGGGCCCTTTTGGGGCCCCCCAAACTGCTCCTTCCCCCTTCTTGTTCCCCCCCTTCTTTGCCCCCCCCACCCCCTTGTCCCCCCCTTCTGTCCTTCCCCCCCCTCCCAAACCGGGGCCCCCCTTCCCCTCCCCCCCCCCCTTTTCTATCACTAGAGGGTTGTCACCTTTAGGAAATCCTTCCTAAGAAATGCCATGCTGACACCACCGAAGGGCATGGAGACAGGAAGTGGCTACTGAGAAGCTGCATGAGAATGCAACAAAAAAAAACATAAAAATAAAGAAAAAAAAAAGATGAAAAGGATTTTATTTCTCATGAGAATAATTTATGGTATACAGAGCACAGAGCAAACGCAGTGTCCTTGGGTTTACATGGACTTTCAGTGCTGGATCTGTGCTAGACTCACCTCCTAAGAGTTCCGCTCCTTCTTGGCTTTGCCCAGAGATGTCACTATCTGGGGACATTTTATGAAGCTTTACATATCCATCAGACTGGACATTGTCCATATACTTCTGCTCAGCGGCATCTCTCTTCTCTTCCTCAGTCTTCTGGAATCCTGCAGAGGGAAGACATGGAAGGTGTCAGGGTGACCTACAGATTGTTTAATAAAGTTGTTTTAAACAAAGCACTTCAAATGTAGGATGGTGGGAGAGCGGTACGTCTGTGAAGGTTCCAGATCATGGTTACTACAAATCAGCTGGGAACTGCTCACTGCCCCCCATTACATAGTGCTCACTGCCCCCCATTACATAGTGCTCACTGCCCCCCATTACATACTGCTCACAGCCCCCACCACATACTGCTCACAGCCCCCAATACATACTGCTCACTGCCCCCCATTACATACTGCTGCCTCCACTACATACTGCTCACTGCCCCCCACTACATACCGCTGCCCCCACTACATACTGCTCACTGCTCCCTATTATATAGCGCTCCCTGCCCCCACTAGATAGCGCTCACTGCCCCCCATTACCTATCGCTCACTGTCCTTACTACATACTGCTCCCTGCCCCCACTACATAGCACTCACTGCCCCCCATTACATACCACATACCACTCACTGCCCCCACTACATACTGCTCACTGCCCCTACTACATAGCGCTCACTGCCCCTACTACATAGCGCTCACTGCCCCCACTACATAGCACTCACTGCCCCCCATTACATACCACATACCACTCACTGCCCCTGCTAGATACTGCTCACTGCCCCTACTACATAGCACTCACTGCCCCCCATTACATACCACATACCACTCACTGCCCCTACTACATAGCACTCACTGCCCCCCATTACATAGCGCTCACTGCCCCAACTACATAGCACTCACTGCCCCCCATTACATAGCGCTCACTAAATATTGCTCACTGCAACCATTACATAGTGCTCACTGCCCCCACTACATACTACTCACTGCCCCCCCCATTATATAGTGCTCACTGCCCCCCATTATATAGTGCTCACTGCCCCTACTACATACCACTCACATGCCAAACTACATACTGCTCACTGCACCCATTACATAGCGCTCACTGCCCCCCATTACATAGTGCTCACTGCCCCCCCATTACATAGTGCTCACTGCCCCCCATTACATAGCGCTTACTGTCCTCATTACATACGGCTCACTGCCCCCCACTACATACTGCTCAATGCCCCCATTACATATCGCTCACTGCCCCCACTATATAGCGTTCACTGCCCCCATTACATATCACTCACTGCCCCCACTACGTAGCGCTCACTGCCCCCAATACGTAGCACTCGCTGCCCCCCATTATATAGCGCTCACTGGCCCCCATTACATAGCGCTCACTGGCCCCCATTACATAGCGCTCACTGTCCCCCATTACATACTGCTCACTGCCCCACTGCGTAGCACTCGCTGCCCCCCATTACATACTGCTCACATGCCCCATTACATAGCGCTCACTGCCCCCCATTACATAGTGCTCACTGCCCCCCATTACATAGCACTCACTACATATCACTCACTGCCCCACTACATACCGCTCACTGCCCCCACTACATACCGCTCACTGCACTGCACCCACTACATACCGCTCACTGCCCCCACTACATACCGCTCACTGCCCCCACTACATACCGCTCACTGCACCCACTACATACCGCTCACTGCCCCACTACATGCTGCTCCCTATTACATACTGCTCACTGCCCATTACATAGCGCTCACTGCCCCCTATCACATATCGCTCACTGCCTCCCACTACATACTGCTCACTGCCCCCACTACATACTGTTCACTGCCCCCCATTACATAGCGCTCACTGCCCTCACTATGTAGCACTCGCTGCTCCCCATTACATACTGCTCACATGCCCCATTACATAGCACTCACTACATACCGTCACTGCCCCACTACCCCACTACATACCGCTCACTGCCCCCCACTACATAGCGCTCACTGTCCCTACTACATGCTGCTCCCCATTACATAGTGCTCACTGCCCCCATTACATACTGCTCACTTCCCCCCCATTACATAGCGCTCACTGCCCCCACTGCATGCTGCTCCCCATTACATAGTGCTCGCTGCTCCCCATTACATAGTGCTCACTGCCCCCCATTACATACTGCTCACTGCCCCCCATTACAAAGCGCTCACTGCCCCCCATTACATAGCGCTCACTGCCCCCACTACATACTGCTCACTGCCCACCATTACATAGTGCTCCATATGAGAAAATGGCCTAAGATTTGTTTTTGCCCAATCTGCACAGAACAAATGAACATGCAGATTCACAGGACGAATAGCTATGCGTTTTTTTAATAACTGTTGTCACCATCAGGAAATCCTTCCTGAGAAATGCCATGCAGACACCACCGGAGGGCATGGAGACAGGAAGTGGCTACTGAGAAGCTGCATGAGGATGCAACAAAAAACAAAAGAAAAAAGAAAATAAAAAAGATGAAAAGGATTTTATTTCTCATGAGAATAGTTTATGGTATACAGAGCACAGAGCAAACGCAGTGTCCTTGGATTTACATGGACTTTCAGTGCTGGATCTGTACTAGACTCACCTCCTAAGAGTCCCGCTGCTTCTTGGCTTTGCCCAGAGATGTCACTATCTGGGGACTGGACATTGTCCATATACTTCTGCTCAGCGGCATCTCTCTTCTCTTCCTCAGTCTTCTGGAATCCTGCAGAGGGAAGACATGGAAGGTGTCAGGGTGACCTACAGATTGTTTTATCAAAATTTTGTAAACAAAGCCCTTCAAATGTAGGATGGTGGGAGAGCGGTACGTCTGTGAAGGTTCCAGGTCATGGTTACTAGAAATCAGCTGGGAACTGCTCACTGCCCCCCATTACATACCGCTCACTGCCCCCCATTATATAGTGCTCACTGCCCCCCCACCACATACTGCTCACTGCCCCCACCACATACTGCTCACACTGCCCCCCATTATATAGTGCTCACCGCCCCCCATTTATATAGTGCTCACCGCCCCCCATTATATAGTGCTCACTGCCCCCACAACATACTGCTCACTGCCCCCCACCACATACTGCTCACTGCCCCCACAACATACTGCTCACTGCCCCCACCACACACTGCTCACTGCCCCCCATTATATAGTGCTCACCGCCCCCCATTACATAGCACTCACTGCCCCCCATTATATAGTGCTCATTGCCCTCACTACATACTGCTCACTGCCCCCATTACATAGCGCTCACTGTCCCCCCATTACATAGCGCTCACTGCCCCCTATTACATAGCGCTCACTGCCCCCACTACATACTGCTCATTGCCCCCCATTACATAGCACTCTCTTCCCCACTACATAGCACTTACTGCCACCCATTACATACCGCTCACTGCCCCCACTACATAGCACTCACTGCCCCCACTACATAGCACTCACTGCCCCCTATTACATAGCGCTCACTGCCCCCCCCATTACATACCGCTCACTGCCCCACTACATACTGCTCCAAATTATATAGTGCTCACTGCCCCCACTACATATCACTCATTTTCCTCACTACATACTGCGCACTGCCCCCCATTACATAGCGTTCACTGCCCCCTCTACATACCGCTTACATGCCCCACTACATATCGCTCACTGCCACACTATATATAGCTCACTGCCCCCATTACATAGTGCTCACTGCCCCCATTACATAGTGCTCACTGCCCCCATTACATAGTGCTCACTGTCCTCACTACATACTGCTCACTGCCCCCACTACGTAACACTCACTGCCCCCCATTACATACCGCTCACTGCCCCCACTACATACCGCTCACTGCCCCCACTACATACCGCTCACTGCCCCCTCTACATACCGCTCACATGCCCCATTACATACTGCTCACTGCCCCCACTACATACTGCTCACTGCCCCCATTACATATCGCTCACTGCCCCCACTATATAGCGTTCACTGCCCCCATTACATATCACTCACTGCCCCCACTATATAGCACTCACTGCCCCCATTACATAGCGCTCACCGCCCCCCATCACATAGCGCTCACTACCCCCATCACATAGCGCTCACTGCCCCCCTTCACATAGCGCTCACTACCCCCCATCACATAGCGCTCACTGCCCCCCATCACATAGTGCTCACTGCCCCCCATCACATAGTGCTCACTGCTCCCATTACATAGTGCTCCATATGAGAAAATGGCCGAAGATTTGTTTTTGCCCAATCTGCACAGAACAAATGAACATGCAGATTCACAGGACGAATAGCTATACAATTTTTTAATAACTGTTGTCACCATCCGGAAATCCTTCCTGAGAAATGTCATGCAGACACCACCGGAGGGCATGGAGACAGGAAGTGGCTACTGAGAAGCTGCATGAGGATGCAACAAAAAACAAAAGAAAAAAGAAAATAAAAAAGATGAAAAGGATTTTATTTCTCATGAGAATAGTTTATGGTATACAGAGCACAGAGCAAACGCAGTGTCCTTGGATTTACATGGACTTTCAGTGCTGGATCTGTACTAGACTCACCTCCTAAGAGTCCCGCTGCTTCTTGGCTTTGCCCAGAGATGTCACTATCTGGGGACTGGACATTGTCCATATACTTCAGCTCAGCGGCATCTCTCTTCTCTTCCTCAGTCTTCTGGAATCCTGCAGAGGGAAGACATGGAAGGTGTCAGGGTGACCTACAGATTGTTTTATCAAAGTTTTGTAAACAAAGCCCTTCAAATGTAGGATGGTGGGAGAGCGGTACGTCTGTGAAGGTTCCAGGTCATAGTTACTACAAATCAGCTGGGAACTGCTCACTGCCCCCCATTACATACCACTCACTGCCCCCCATTAAATACCGCTCACTGTCCCCCATTATATAGTGCTCACTGCCCCCACAACATACTGCTCACTGCCCCCACCACATACTGCTCACTGCCCCCCATTATATAGTGCTCACTGCCCCCACCACATACTGCTCACTGCCCCCACCACACAGTGCTCACTGCCCCCCATTATATAGTGCTCACCGCCCCCCATTATATAGTGCTCATTGCCCTCACTACATAGTGCTCACTGCCCCCCATTACATAGCGCTCACTGCCCCCCATTATATAGTGCTCACTGCACCCCATTATATAGTGCTCACTGCCCCCCATTATATAGTGCTCACTGCCCCCATTATATACTGCTCATTTCCCCCCATTACATAGTGCTCACTGCCCCAACTACATAGCGTTCACTGCCCCCCATTACATAGCGTTCACTGCCCCTCATTACATAGCGTTCACTGCCCCCCATTACATAGCGCTCACTGCCCCCCATTATATAGTGCTCACTGCACCCCATTATATAGTGCTCCCTGCCCCCACTACATACTACTCATTTCCCCCCATTACATAGCGCTCACTGCCCCCCATTACATAGTGCTCACTGCCCCCCATTACATAGTGCTCACTGCACACCACTACATACCGCTGCCCCCCTACATACCGCTCCCCATTATATAGTGCTCACTGCCCCCACTACATATCGCTCATTGTCCTCACCACATACTGCTCACTGCCCCTCATTACAGAGCGCTCACTGCCCCCCATTACATACTGCTCACTGCCCCCCATTGCATAGCACTCATTGCCCCCCCATTACATAGCGCTCACTGTCCTCACTACGTACTGCTCACTGCCCCACAACGTAGCACTCACTGCCCCCCCATTAAATAACACTCACTGCTCCTCATTACATAGCGCTCACTGCCCCCAATTACATATTGCTCACTGCCCCCACTACAATTCGCTCACTGCCCCCACTGCATAGCACTCACTGCCACACTATATTTCGCTCACTGCCCCCATTACATACCACTCACATGCAAAATTACATATCGCTTACTGCCCCCATTACACAGCGCTCACTGCCCCCATTACATATCGCTCACTGCCCCCATTACATACTGCTCACTGCCCCCACTACATACTGCTCACTGCCCCCATTACATATCGCTCACTGCCCCCCATTACATACTGCTCACTGCCCCCACTACATACTGCTCCCACTAAATATCACTCACTGTCCCCACTACATAACGCTCACTGCCTCCACTATATACTGCTAACTAACTGTACCACCATTACATACTGCTCACTGACTGCGCCGCTACTATTTACTGTTCACTGACCGCCCAGCCCATATACTGTATACTGCTCACTGACTGACCGCCCTGCCCATATACTGTATACTGCTCACTGACCGCCCTGCCCATATACTGTATACTGATCACTGACCGCCCTGCTCATATACTGTATACTGCTCACTGACCGCCCCTGCCCATATACTGTATACTGATCACTGACCGCCCCGCCCATATATTGTATACTGCTCACTGACCGCCCCGCCCATATACTGTATACTGCTCACTGACCGCCCTGCCCATATACTGTATACTGTTCACTGACCGCCCTGCCCATATACTGTATACTGCTCACTGACCGCCCCGCCCATATACTGTATACTGCTCACTGACCGCCCTGCTCATATACTGTATACTGCTCACTGACCGCCCCCGCTCATATACTGTATACTGATCACTGACCGCCCTGCTCATATACTGTATACTGCTCACTGACCGCCCTGCCCATATACTGTATACTGCTCACACTGACCGCCCCGCCCATATACTGTATACTGCTCACTGACCGCCCTGCCCATATACTGTATACTGCTCACTGACCGCCCCGCCCATATACTGTATACTGCTCACTGACCACCCTGCCCATATACTGTATACTGATCACTGACCGCCCTGCTCATATACTGTTATACTGCTCACTGACCGCCCCGCCCATATACTGTATACTGATCACTGACCGCCCCGCCCATATATTGTATACTGATCACTGACCACCCTGCCCATATACTGTATACTGCTCACTGACCGCCCTGCCCATATACTGTATACTGATCACTGACCGCCCCGCTCATATACTGTATACTGATCACTGACCGCCCCGCCCATATACTGTATACTGATCACTGACCGCCCTGCCCCATATACTGTATACTGCTCACTGACCGCCCCGCCCATATATTGTATACTGCTCACTGACCGCCCCGCTCATATACTGTATACTGCTCACTGACCGCCCCGCCCCGCCCATATATTGTATACTGATCACTGACCGCCCTGCCCATATACTGTATACTGCTCACTGACCACCCTGACCATATACTGTTTACTGCTCACTGACCGCCCTGCCCATATACTGTATAGTGCTCACTGACCGCCCCGCCCATATACTGTATACTGCTCACTGACCGCCCCGCCCATATACTGTATACTGCTCACTGACCGCCCCGCCCATATACTGTATACTGCTCACTGACGCCCCGCCCATATACTGTATACTGCTCACTGACCGCCCTGCCCATATACTGTATACTGCTCACTGACCGCCCCGCCCATATACTGTATACTGCTCACTGACCGCCCTGCTCATATACTGTATACTGCTCACTGACCGCCCCACCCATATACTGTATACTGATTACTGACCGCCCTGCCCATATACTGTATACTGCTCACTGACCGCCCTGCTCATATACTGTATACTGCTCACTGACCGCCCTGCCCATATACTGTATACTGCTCACTGACCGCCCTGCCCATATATACTGTATACTGATCACTGACCGCCCTGCCCATATACTGTATACTGATCACTGACCACCCTGCTCATATACTGTATACTGCTCACTGACCGCCCCGCCCATATACTGTATACTGCTCACTGACCGCCCCGCCCATATACTGTATACTGCTCACTGACCGCCCTGCCCATATACTGTATACTGCTCACTGACCGCCCTGCCCATATACTGTATACTGATCACTGACCACCCTGCCCATATACTGTATACTGATCACTGACCACCCCGCCCATATACTGTATACTGCTCACTGACCGCCCTGCCCATATACTGTATACTGCTCACTGACCGCCCTGCCCATATACTGTATACTGCTCACTGACCGCCCTGCCCATATACTGTATACTGCTCACTGACCGCCCTGCTCATATACTGTATACTGCTCACTGACCGCCCTGCCCATATACTGTATACTGCTCACTGACCGCCCTGCCCATATACTGTATACTGATCACTGACCACCCTGCCCATATACTGTATACTGAGCACTGACCACCCCGCCCATATACTGTATACTGCTCACTGACTGCCCTGCCCATATACTGTATACTGCTCACTGACCGCCCCTGCCCATATACTGTATACTGATCACTGACCGCCCTGCCCATATACTGTATACTGCTCACTGACCGCCCTGCCCATATACTGTATACTGCTCACTGACCGCCCTGCCCATATACTGTATACTGATCACTGACCGCCCCGCCCATATACTGTATACTGCTCACTGACCGCCCTGCCCATATACTGTATACTGATCACTGACCGCCCCGCCCATATACTGTATACTGCTCACTGACCGCCCCGCCCATATACTGTATACTGCTCACTGACCGCCCTGCCCATATACTGTATACTGATTACTGACCGCCCCGCCCATATACTGTATACTGCTCACTGATTGCCCGGCCACTACATATTGCACATTATCCTGCCGCCGAATACTCTCCCGGTACTGCCTTGTCAATGGAATGTCAATGCCCTGGAATCCCGCAGAGGGAAGGCATGGACGGTATGAGGGTGTGCTAGAGATTCATGAAACACTTTTTTTTTCCAAATAAAGCACTTCAATCTAGGATGGTAGGGCAGCTTTTTGCCTGTGAAGGTTTCATGTCTCGGTACAGCCAGTAGTAGTTTGCCATATTCGGGTGGAAATGTTCTGTTTCTCTGCTCAGGTGTCTTCCTCAGCTCTGATCAGTGGCAGGTCCATACCATGAATGGAGGAAATACTCTAATATCTAACAGACCAAATCCCGTGTGAAATTTAACAAAAAAAAAAAGAAAGCAACAAAGAGGCTGTGTAATGTGTGAAAAACCCTGAAAATAAACATATTACACATAAATCTTAAAAAGAAAAACACCTCAAATATTGAATGAAAAGAGGAAAAGCCAACGGAGACACAAACATATAATTCAACATCCAGTAACTTGATGACATATCCAGCAAATGTTATAAAAACGTAATTCATACAGGTGAAACTCGAAAAATTAGAATTTGGTGCAAAAGTTCATTTATTTCAGTGCAGCAACTTCAAAGGTGAAACTAATATATGAGACTCATTCCATGCAAAGCAAGATAGTTCCAGCCGTGATTTGTCATCATTGTGGTGATTATGGCTTACAGCTCATGAAAACCCCAAATCACACAATCTCAGAAAATGAGAATATTCCATGCAATCAATAAAACACGGATTGTACATAGAACAATATCGCACCTCTGAAAAGTAGAAGCTGCATATGTACTCAGTACTTGGTTTGGGTCCCTTTTGCAGCAATTACTGCCTCAATGCGGCGTGGCATGGAAGCTATCAGCCTGTGGCACTGCTGAGGTGTTATGGAAGACCAGGATGCTTCAATAGCGGCCTTCAGCTCTTCTGCATTGTTCGGTCTCATGTCTCTCATCTTTCTCTTGGCAATGCCCCATAGATTCTCTATGGGGTTCAGGTCAGGCGAGTTTGCTGGCCAATCAAGCACAGTAATCCCACGGTCATTGAACCAGGTTTTGGTGCTTTTGGCAGTGTGGGCGGAGCCAAGTCCTGCTGGAAAATGAAGTCAGCATCCCCATAAAGCTCGTCTGCGGAAGGAAGCATGAAGTGCTCCAAAAATCTCCTGGTAGACGGCTGCGGTGACCCTGGACTTAATGAAGCACAGTGGACCAACACCAGCAGATGACATGGCTCCCCAAATCAACACAGACTGTGGAAACTTCACACTGGACTTCAAGCATCTTGCAGTGTGTGCCTCTCCATTCTTCCTCCATACTCGGGGCCCTTGGGCCTCTCCATTCTTCCTCCATACTCGGGGTCCTTGGGCCTCTCCATTCTTCCTCCATACTCGGGGTCCTTGGGCCTCTCCATTCTTCCTCCATACTCGGGGTCCTTGTGCCTCTCCATTCTTCCTCCATACTCGGGGTCCTTGGGCCTCTCCATTCTTCCTCCATACTCGGGGGTCCTTGGGCCTCTCCATTCTTCCTCCATACTCGGGGTCCTTGGGCCTCTCCATTCTTCCTCCATACTCGGGGTCCTTGGGCCTCTCCATTCTTCCTCCATACTCGGGGTCCTTGGGCCTCTCCATTCTTCCTCCATACTCGGGGTCCTTGGGCCTCTCCATTCTTCCTCCATACTCGGGGTCCTTGGGCCTCTCCATTCTTCCTCCATACTCGGGGTCCTTGGGCCTCTCCATTCTTCCTCCATACTCGGGGTCCTTGGGCCTCTCCATTCTTCCTTCATACTCGGGGTCCTTGGTCCTCTCCATTCTTCTTCCATACTCGGGGGCCTTGTGCCTCTCCATTCTTCCTCAATACTCGGGGTCCTTGTGCCTCTCCATTCTTCCTCCATACTCGGGGTCCTTGTGCCTCTCCATTCTTCCTCCATACTCGGGGTCCTTGGGCCTCTCCATTCTTCCTCCATACTCGGGGTCCTTGTGCCTCTCCATTCTTCCTCCATACTCGGGGTCCTGGGCCTCTCCATTCTTCCTCCATACTCGGGGTCCTTGGTTTCCAAATGAGATGCAAAAGTTGCTCTCATCAGAAAAGAGGACTTTGGACCACTGAGCACCAGACCAGGTCTGTTTTCCTTTAGCCCAGGTAAGACGCTTCTGATGTTGTTTGTTGTTCAGGAGTGACTTGACAAGAGGAATACGACATTTGAAGCCCATGTCCAGGATCCGTCTGTGTGTGGTGGTTCTTGATGCACTGACTCCAGCCTCAGTCCCTCCTTGTGAAAGTCCCCAACACTTTTGAATGGCCTGTTCCTGACAATCCTCTCCAGGCTGCGGTCATCCCTGCTGCTTGTGCACCTTTTTCTTCCACACTTTTCCCTTCCACATAACTTTCTATTAATGTGCTTTGATACAGCACTTTGGGAACATCCAACTTCTTCTGCAATGACCTTCTGAGGCTTTCCCTCCTTATGGAGGGTGTCAGTGATGGTGTCAGGTCAACAGTCTTTCCCATGATTGTGATTCCTACTGAACCAGACTGAGAGACCATTTAAGGCTCAGGACCCTTTGCAGGTGTTATGGCTGAATGATCTGATTAGAGTGGGACACTTTGAGCCGAGATTATTCCACCTTTTCACAATATTCTCATTTTCTGAGATTGTGGATTTGGGGTTTTCATGAGCTGTAAGCCATAATCATCACAATGATGACAAATCACGGCTTGAACTATCTTGCTTTGCATGGAATGAGTCTATCTCATGTATTAGTGTCACCTTTTAAGTTGCTGCACTGAAATCAATGAATGAAAGAATGAATGAATGCACCAGATTCTCATTTTTCCAGTTTCACCTGTACACTACTATGACCAATGGGCGCCCCTAGATACAGTTAGGTCCATATACAGTGCAGGAAATGTGTATTTGCTCCCCCCTGATGGTGAATGTTCGCCCCTCACACAGAAATGATCGGTCTAACAATGGAATGTTCGCCCCCTCACACAGAAACGATCGGTCTAACAATGGAATGTTCGGTGTAACACTGAGAGACAGAATACAACAACAAATTCAACAGAAATGCGTCTAACAAATGATGACGGATCTGCATGTTCATGAGGGAAAGAAGGATTTGATCCCCTTCACAAAACATAACTTAGTACTTGGTGGCAAATCCCTTGTTGGCAATCACAGAGGTCGGACGTTTCCTGGAGTTGGCCCCCAGGTTCGCACACATCTCAGAAGGGATTTTGGCCCACTCCTCTTGGCAGATCCTCTCCAAGTCATTAAGGTTTGGTGGCTGACATTTGGCAACTCGAACTTTCAGCTTCCTCCACAGATTTTCAATCGGATGAAGGTGTGGAGACTGGCTAGGCCACTCCAGGACCTTAATTTGCTTCTTCTTGAGCCGCTCCTTTGTTGCCTTGGCCGTGTGTTTTGGGTCATTGTCACCTTGAGAGAGATCTTGCATGGTGCACCAGACCTAGGGAGACTGACACTTGTTTTGTGTTTCTTCCATTTGTGAATGATTGCACCAACTGTTGTCACCTTCTCACCAAGCTGCTTGGCCATAGTTTGGTAGCCCAGTCCAGCCTTGTGTAGGTCTACCATCTTGTCCCTGACATCCTTGGACAGCTCTTTGGTCTTTGCCATGGTGGAGAGTTTGGAATCTGATGGTTTGATTGCTCCTGTGGACAGTTGTCTTTTATACAGGTAACACAATGAGATTAGCAGCACTCCCTTTAAGAGACTGCTACTAATCTCAGCTTGTTACCTGTATGAGAGACACCTGGGAGCCAGAAATCCTGCTGAATGATAGGGGATCAAATCCTTCTTTCCCTCATGAACATGCAGATCAGTCATCATTTGTTAGACACATTTCTGCTGAATTTGTTGTTGTATTCTGTCTCTCAGTGTTACACCGAACATTCCATTGTTAGACCGATCATTTCTGTGTGAGGGGGAACATTCCATTGTTAGACCGATCATTTCTGTGTGAGGGGTGAACATTCCATTGTTAGACCGATCATTTCTGTGTGAGGGGCGAACATTCCATTGTTAGACCGATCATTTCTGTGTGAGGGGCGAACATTCCATTGTTAGACCGATCATTTCTGTGTGAGGGGCGAACATTCCATTGTTAGACCGATCATTTCTGTGTGAGGGGCGAACATTCAGCATCAGCAGGGGAGCAAATACACATTTCCTTCACTGTATATTTGGACACAGGCACAATTTTAGTTTTTTTTTCAGGTATTTACCAAATATATTCCCTCTATATTTCTATGATGGACATGGGCAGACAGTGGACACTCCCAGGTGTACTTAGAGGGTATGTACATGCAGATTGGAGGAAGGGTTTAGGAATTACAGCTCTTAAAGAGTAGCCATCCCCACCTTTTTCAAGGGACCAAAAGTTATTGGACAGTTGAATCAAAAGCTGTTTCATGGCCAAGTGTGGGCTACTCCTTCGTTATTTCTTCATCAATGAAGCAGGTAAAAGGTCTGGAGTGGATTCTAAGTGCGGGATTTGTATTTGGTATCTATCGCTGTGATCCTACATCATGCGTTGCAAGTGAAACAGGCCATTGGAAGGCTTCAAAAATGCAACAATGTATAACACTGAATTAAATGTTGGCGTCACTAGGAGGCGATCTCTGCTTTCCATAGAGAACAATACAGCATTTATCAGGAGAGAATGAAGCTCAAGAGAAGAAATACTAAAAAAAAAGAAAAAGGTAAGATAAATCCAGTCACCAGCAATGTGAACAATTCCATCAAAAGCTGTCTTTTTACAATAATCTACATTTTGTAAAAAAAAAAAAAGGAAAAAAACAACAAAAAACCACAACATCTGTAGGGTGATGGTGAAGTCCATCATGCGTTGTCCTTCAGGTATACTGACCTTCTGTAGGTATTTCATCCCTGTACCCATCACGCATGTAGACACTTTCTGTATCAGGCCGCGTTATGTCAGACCGGTGGATATCTTTCCTAGAGCCACGGGCAATATTGGGTGTCGGCTCATCAGGATCTCTCTTGCACTTCTTAAACTTCCAGAATCCTGCAGAGGGAAGATGTTTAGGATGTAAGAGTTCGATGTAGAGGTACAGTAGGAGGTATCTAAATGAAGAACATCAAGTCAGTCTGGCATGGCCTAACTAGTATGTTCAGTAGGTAGGATGCAGAAGACACGTAAAATCCGTGGCACCGCACACGCCGCCATCTATCCTCCAATACACGGATGAGTTTGTACATGGACATGCGCAAGTAACCGCCATTGGCATTGAGAAGAAATTGCAAAAATGGATACGTGTTTCAAAACACCCCTGTGAGAAGACAAGTCAGCCAAATCGTTTCACAGAGAAGGTGAAGTAGATCTAGAACAACCAGAAGCTCTAGGATTCCTCCAGAAGTTTGGGGGGGTTTCCTTGATTGGTGGTTGACTGACCTAGTTCTAGGGTCAACGTCATACTCCAGCTTCCTCAATGTCCTGTGGTCAGCTGTTCTCCCCTCCATGCCCTGAAATTATCATTACCTTCTACTCTATGCCCCACTTCACAACCAGTTGCCATTCTACCCCCTATATTCCAACCAGCCCATATATTGTGACAGTACGATGCCCCCGTCCTCTTGCATTAGCAAGTCTTGGCTTGTGTCCAGAGGATTCCCCCCCCCTCCCCCTGTCTGTCGGTGAACTTATGGTGAGTACAAAGGGACATATGCAGGCCATAGATGGGTCGAAAATCGGCCGATTTTTCGGCCGAAAATAAAATCGGCCGATTTTCGGATCGTTAGTGGGCTAGAAATGTTCGGCCGTTTTTCGGTATTTTGGCAGATTTTTTTTATCGGTAAGTTGGAAAAAAAACGGCCGATTTTGCCGATCGCCCGATTTTCGTAGGCAACGGATGGGGGCAAATCGGGCGATCTTTTTATCGATTAAAACAAATGCTGACGCTTTAAGAGCAGTGACCTGCAAGAGGAAAAGCAACAAAAAGAAAGAAGAAACAAACGAAGAAGAGGATGAAGAAGAGGAAGAGGCATGAAGCAGAGGAACGGAGGAGAGGGGTAAGCGAGAGAGGATGAAGAAGCAGAAGCGGATGGCGAAGAAGAGGCTGGAGAAGAAGAAGAATAGGCTGAAGAAGAGGAAGAAGAAGAAGAGAATAGGTGAAGAGCAGAGGTGAAGAAGGGATGAAGAACCCAAAAAGGGAAATTTTAAAACCCCGGGGAAAAAAAAAAAAAAAAAAGGAAAAAAAAAAATTTAAAAAAACCCCAAAAGGGGGGGAAAAGGGGGAAAAAAAACCCCCCCCCCTTTTCCCCCCAAATTTTTTCCCTTTTGGGGTTAAACCCCTTTTAAAAAAAATTTTTTTTTTTTTTCCCTTCCCCAAAAATTCCCCCAACCCCCCAATTAAAACCCGGCCCCCCCCCCCCCCCCCCTTTTTTGGAAAAAGGGTTTTTTTAAAAAATTTTTTTGGCCCCGGGGGGGAAAAAACCCCCCCTTTTTCCCCTTTTTTTTTTCCCCCCCCCCTTTCCCCCTTTTGGAAAAAAGGGTTTTTTGGGCCAAAAAATGGGGTTTTGGGGTTTTTTTTCCCCTTTTTGGGGGGTTTTTTTGGAATTTTTAAAATTTTTTTGGGTTTTTTAAAAAAGGGGGGTTTTTTTTCCCAAAAAAAAAAACCCCCCTTTTTTTTTGGGGGAAAAAAGGGGGGGGGGCCCCCCCCCAAAAAATTTTACCGTTAAACAAACCACCAAAAGGGGAAAAAAAAAAAAAAAAAAAAAAAAGAAGAAAAAAAAAAGGGGAAAAGAAGAAAAAGGAAGGGGGGGGAAAAAAAAGGGGGGGGGGAAAAAAAGGGGGAAAGGGAAGAAGGGGGGGGGGGAAAAAAAAAAGGGGGGAAAAAGGAAAAAAAAAAAAAAAAGGGGGGGAAAAAGGGGGTTTGGGGGGTTTTTAAAAAAGGGGGGGGTTTTTTTTTTAAAAAAGGGGGGGGGGGGGGAAAAAAAAAAATTTTTTAAAAAAAAAAAAAAAAAAAAAAAAAAAATTTTTTTTTTTTTTAAAAAGGGGGGGGAAAAAAAAAAAAATTTTTTTTTTTAAAAAAAAAAAAAAACCCCCCCCCCCGGGGGGGCCCCCGCCCCCCCCCCCGGGCCCCTTTTCCAAAATTTCCCTTAAAAATTTTTCCCTAAAAAAAAAAAAAAAAATTTTTTTAAAAAAAATTTAAAAAAATTAAAAAAAAGGGGGGGGGGAAAAAGGGGGGAAAAACCCTTTTTTTTTACCGTTGCTGGAAAACCCGGGAGACGCTTTTTAACGACCGATTTTTTGTTTTTTTTTAAAAAAAAAATCGGCCGATTTTAACCCCCTGTTGGCTTGCATTAAGGGAACCCCCCAAAACCCGCACCGATGGAACTGAATTTCCAAAACCCGGTGGGTTTGACACCCACAGGTGGGGCGCTGAAACTACAACCTCCGGCCCTGGATAGTGCCCAACCAGCATTAAATTTAGTTTTCCCGACTATTTGAATTGGTGGGGTTGGCATTTAAATTTATTTAGGGGGGCATTACCCAATTTTTTCAAATCCCTGCGCTTTAATAGTGTGTCAGCCCTGGGGAAACCCCATGGGCCCG